CACTGGTTTCCATTGATCCTATCAAGGCTGTTTGTGTGTGTGGCTAACGATTCCATAGCTCAAACCACTCCCTGCATTTTCCACTTCTGTGCTGGGATTTGCAGGCACAGGGAGGACAGGGGGGTGACTGGAGACAGCCAGCACAGCTTCAGCAGAGCCTTCACCTCCTGATCTGCGGGATCAGATCAGTCTGGGGATGAGTGCACTGGGAGCAGCCCTGCTGAGAAGGAGCTGGGGTATTAATAAAGATGATCAATGTCCCTTGTCCATCCCATTCAGCCTTGTCAGAGCAGTGCTGTCCTGATGAGGATTTCTGAGCACTGACATTGACTCAGTGGGTCTAATGAGCTCCTTTGCATTGTCCTTGCACTCAGCAATTAATGTGTCCCTGCAATTTGTCTCTCCTCAGTTTTGTGTTTGGGGCTTTCTTGGCAGGTGAAATGGGCTGACAAGGACCCTTATGAAATTGGAAGTGGACAAAGTCCTGCATCTGGGAAGGAAGAAGCCCTTGCAATGACACATGCTGGGCACTGACTGTCTGGGGAGCAGCTCTGCTGAAGAAGACCTGGTGGTTTTGGTAGGCACAAGCTGAACATGAACCAAATCTGCCCTGGCAGCAAAAATGACCAACAGCCTCCTGGGCTGCACTAAGAGGAGCGTAAGTCAGCAGATTAAGGGGCTCATTGCTTCTTTGGCAGCATTTCCAACACTGCATCCAGTTCTGGGTGATGCAGCATAAAAAAGTGTTGGTAAGCTGGGAGAGTTCAATGGGGGGCCGTGGAGAAGGTCAGGGGCTGCAGCACTTGTCCTAGGAGGAGAAGCTGGGGAATAGGCCTTGTTCAGTTGGGAGAAAATGTTTTGGTGGGACCTAAGAGCAGTTTTCCAATGCTTACGGGCAAGTTACTGAGAAGATGAAGCTAAACTTTTCAGAGTGCATATTGTGAGAGGATGAAAATGTGAGAGACATTAACTAAATCAAGAGGGCATTCAGCTGACATAGTGACAAACCTTTTCATGATGATGTCAGAAAATTTTAAATCACACCACCCAGAGAACTGGGATAGTCTGCATACCCTGAGGTTTTCTAGAGCTGACTGGATAAAGCCACCAACAACCATAATTCACCGCTGTCCCTGTATTAAGCAGCTGACTGGATCCAATGGCAACCAAAGGTCACTTCCAAATTCCATTACCCACCAGTGCTACAATCCTCCTGGCTCCCTGGGCCATTCAAGCTCATCACATAAGGACCAAGACAGGCAAATCCCAGTATTTCCTGAGCCATGTTGCTGAGAGGGCATCTGTGGTACTGCATGATTTCAACACACAAGATGCTCTTCTGAGAAAGCCCATGATAGTTCCTACAAACAGCTGATCAGGATTGAAAGTGAAAGGAAAGAATACTAAAGTTACATGAGGTGTTTGCGGTTTTTCGTGGAAAAGCCCAGTTCCGGGGTTTCTGTCTGGTCACTTTTCGAGTGCCGTGTGTAGGGATAGCTCAGGATGAATGGAGTTCAGCCCCAGGGGCTCCTCCTGCTCAGATGCTGGAGCCCAGGCTGCAGATTTATTATCTGAGCATTGACTTCAGTCTGAATTGGGAAAATGTTTGGAGTCATATTTAGCATAATAGTGTGGAAAGAAATACCATGTCTAGTCTGATTCAAGTGTTTAATTACAAAACTGACAGCATAAAGCACCGTTTAAAATATTCAGTATTTTGTACAAAATAAGCCTCTGGCAATGAACTGTGGAGGTCTTTTGCCATGCTTCTGCTTTAAAATTCTGACTTTGAAGCTGGTTTTTCACCGTATCAGTACCTCTCTATTTACACTCCCTCGAGTGCTGTGTTCATTTGTGCCCCTCACTGCAGAAAGACATGGAGGGGCTGGAGTGAGTCCAGAGAAGGGCAGCCAGGCTGGTGAAGGGTCTGGAGCACAGGTCTGATGAGGAAGAGCTGAGGGAGCTGGGGGTGTTTATCCTGGGGAAAAGGAGGCTCAGGGCAGATATGTTTAATTTTGACGGTACCTGAGAGGAGCTTGTGCTAGGTGGGGGTTTAGCCCTTGTCCCAGGCACGGGAGGGACAAGGGGAAATGGCTTTCCATTGTGTATGGAGAGGTTCCGGCTGGATATTAGGAAACATTTCTTCATTGAACATTATTAAAATTTGTAATGGGCTGCCCAGGGAAGTGGTAGGGTCACCATTCTTGAAAATATACAAAACACAAGTAGAAATGGTCCTTTGCAATATGGTTTAATGGGCATGGTGGCATTTGGTTCAAGGCTGGATTTTATGATCTTGGTGGCCTTTTCCAACAGCAATGATACTGTGATTGTAAGGGAAAGAGGCAAAAGAAAAAGAAAAATATTACATGAATGTCTCCACTGTCACTTGGAAATCTTCCGTCAAAACTCTTAGTAAGACTAAGGTTGTGTATTCAACATTATTCCCAGAAAGGCAAAAATGTAAACTCCAACAGGCAGAAACATTCTGTAGTCTGTGTGTCAAAGAATGCTTTGATACATTTTTATTACTGTCATTCCATTTTCTTCTGGAGGACAAGGACAAACAGGAATTGAACTTCCCAGGTTTCATGAAGTCACTTGCACTTCGTGGGACTTTTGAATGAGAGAAAGAAGATGTCTGACCATAGGAAGATCTAATCTAGGACAGGATAGTTAATGATTTTTGATGCCTGGGGGCATGGTACCACTTCCCAGTTCTGTGGAATTGGGTATTTCACAAGACTTCTGAGCCAGCTATAAATGGAGGTTGGTAAGATGCCATTCCCAAACCGTCTGTCTTCCTTTTGTGCAGGCTGTCATTCAAGGCCAACAGCAAGAACTTTCATCCTCAGAAGTCCTGAGATGGGCAAAATCATAATTTATGAGCATGCCAACTTCAGGGGTGTGTCCAGAGAAATCACTTCTGACATTTCCAATCTGGGACGTTTGGACTTTAATGATATTATCTCCTCAGTGAAAGTAATTGGCCAGCCTTGGGTGGCTTATGAGCACGTAAATTATACAGGCAGGCTAATGGTACTTGAGGAGGGGGAGCATGACTATGTTGGCAGAAGCATGAATGATACAATCAGTTCTCTGCAGATGATCACTGAAGATCTGCATGATCCCCAGATCACTCTCTATGAGCATCCCAACTACCTAGGGAAGAGCAGAGTAATAAGAGAAGCAACCAACCTGGCTGCGGGATTTGACAATGACATCATGTCTTCCCACAAAGTCCAGAGAGGTGCCTGGCTGCTGTGTGAGCACAGGGATGGAAGTGGAATTCAATACATTGCACGAGAAAAAGATAACCTCCCGCATTACTCAGCAATCTACCTCAATGACAAGCTTTCCTTCCTGCGTCCCCTTCGCCCTGGCCGCTCTTATTAGAATGCAAATCCTCCAAAGCTGAGGAAGATGCAGCACCAGCAAGAAATTTGAGATCTAGATTTCTCCTTGTGCTTGTGTAGCCTTTTTTCCCTGGGAGCTCTCTGCTGTGCTGCACTGCAGATCTGTACTTCTCTATCCTGCCTTGCACGCTTCTCCCACCCCACAAATGCAAGAATCACCACGCTTGATCATATGAAAGAGTGTCCAAGCTAAGAAACATGCCAGGGATGTGTAACCTAATACACCCTCAGCTGGCATTCCAGAGTCCTGGGCTATGGAATGCTGAAACATTGCATGTTGTCTCTGTTGCTAAGTGAAACAGAAAATGTAAGTGTAGGGCCAGCATTGCCTTCTTTTTAATTTGCTTTACAAAGGTAGCATGGCTTCTGCCATTGTCTGTAATCTGTTTTGCATTGGTGCCATTAAAGAATCTTTTGCAATTAGCAGTGTGTCTGTTTAATGCATCTTTACAATAAATAAGTATTGCTCTTTCGTGGTGAGATGTCTTTGTGTATCCAGGGAACAGTTCATAGAGTCATTGCATATATTTCCTGGATGACTCCTGGAGCATTGTCTCCTTCCAATTTCAATGTAGAGTAACAGTGGGGTCAGGCTTGACTCAACCAGTGCTAAAATCTTGCTGATCATGTTGATTATTGCTGTGATCCTGGCCAAACTCTCCCATGCAGTGTACATAAATAGCATACTTTTGATGGTATTGTGTACAATCAATCATAGTGATGGATCGTGCTGGTGATACAATCCTCCACTGCCCAAATCACATAATCAAACAGTAAGTTTTCAGAACTTTAAACTGACAGATTGGTTGATCGCAATGGAAACAACTATCTTGTGTTTTCAAACCTGGAGTACCTTGATAAGGGAGGAGGAATGACAAGGTATTCTAATACCTATTTTGGCATGTGCAAGTTCCCCTGGGCGACTGGCACAGCTCGCTCCATCAAAGGCCAGGTTGGACAAGGCTTTGAGTGGAAAATCTCCCTGCTCATTGCACAGCATGCAACTAGATGGGGTTTAAAATCCCTCTCAGCCAAAATCGTTCTGTCATTTCGTGATTCTAGGATGTGCAAATTCAGCAATACAGTCAACCTTGCTGTGGCCCTATGTCCTTTCAGGTCCCAGTCTCTCAGTTTTGTGTTCCTCTTTTTACATCTACAGTACCTCTTTTTACAGCAACACTTACAGATTTTGAATGTCAGCACAATGAGTCTTTATGGCTCCAAGTCCCTTCAAAATCCTGTGCTTTGCAAGGGTGGCTGAGGAGGAACTCTGCCCTATCCTACTGTGTAGGGCTGTGTAGACAGAAGTCTCTGCTAAAGCTTTAGCATGTTCACAGCTAAGGCTGGATGGTTTATGGTTGTGGCATGAAAGGGTAGAAGAACAGTGCCTTTCTAGCTGCTTCTCAGGTGTGCAGTGGATAATACCTGAATGTCGTGAAGGACAGGGAAAGAATGCCACATATATGGAGGGAATTCAAAATTCTGGAGTGCTTTCATAAAACAGTAAAAAAATAAATATGTAAGAACATCCTTGTTGATGTTCTTTCCTTGTTTCTGACACTATGACCTGAAGATTCTTGCAATGTCTCACTTTAAGGTGTAATGTATGTGCACTCAGGTAATCTTTTGTCTTTTCTTGGTAGTAGAAACATTAGTAATGATTGAGAGCCTGTAGAGCAATTTGGGAGGAAGTCTGATGTTGGGAAATGCTATTTATAAAGGCACAAGAAATAATCTAAGTTATTGTACACATGACTTGATGATGACATTTTTTCATTGAAATTGAACAAAGGATGAAATCAGGCAGAGAATGACAAAGGCTTTTAAATCATCTTTAGAATTACTGACAGAAAGATTTAATGTAGAGGGGACCTCCCTAGTCCAAGGTCTTGTTTGTGGCAGAGCTACCTTCAAACATGATCAAGTTGCTCATGGCCATCTTCAAGTGGACAGCTGAACACTGAATTTCTGAACAGCTCCAAGGGTGGAGATTCCACAGGGTCTCTGGCTCTTCTGTCAGTCCTGAAACCCCCTTAGGGTCATATTTTTTTTTCCTTACTTTCCATCAGAGCTACCCTGTTCCCAGATAAGACTCTTCCCCAGGTGTCCTTTTATGTGCACCTCCCTTAGCCTTTTCTCTTCCATGGCTAAGAAACATTTTCTCAGTGAGTTTGGCCAATTTTAAATCACCCCACTAGAGCTCACAGAATTCACAGAATCACTAGGGTGGGAGAGAACTTTGAAATCACAGAGTCCAACCCATGCCCTAACACATCAACTAAACCATGGCACCAAGGTCCACATCCAGCCTGTTTTTAAACAGGCTGAGGGATGGTGACTCCACCATCTCCCCAGGCAGAAAATTCCAGTACTTTATCACTCTTTCCGTATAAACTTTTTCCTAACACCCAACCTAAATTTCCCTTGGTGCTGCTTAAGATTGTGTTCTCTTGTTCTGCCAGTTGCTGTCTGGAAGAAAAAACAACCCTCACCTGACTGCACCCACCTTTCAGGAAGTTGTAGGGTGATAAGGTCACCTCTGAGTCTCCTTTTCTCCAGACTAAACACTCCCAGCTCCCTCAGTTGTTTTTCATAGGGCTTGTGTTCCAATGTTGTGTAGTCTCCATACTGAGAGTATCCTTGCCCTACTTGCTGGCTCCTCCAGCTCAAACTTTGCTGGCAAATCACACCATTATGACTTCTCTCGAACAAAATATGTCTTTATTTGATAAAGTTCATGAAACAGAGGCTGTCACGTTACACATATCCTCACAAACTTGTCTTCCCACGCTTTAAATATCACAAGTGGTGGAAGATTGTGGTGTAAGATGTGCCTTAGCAGGACAGAAGGAGACACCTGTAGAGCTGGTAATTGAAGGAGGAGAGACACCAAGGCACAAGAGGACAATCCATTGAGGATTAGGCCTGTGCAGATTGCCTTTTCAATCTGGTCTTGTGGACCCCGTGCCCTGTATCACCCTCTCTGTTACCTGTCACTGCCTCTGAGGTGTTAATGCAAGTCCAGCCATGGCTTCCCTGCCAAAGCACCACACCCTGCTTCTGTCACCCCGTGCTCAAAGCCTGGGGAAGACACACTCCTAGACTCAACATGACCACCCCGTGACCCAGGTCCCAGAGTTCTCTCTAACTTTTCCCTACCTTCTCTTTGTGATAGTGGTTGGACCACTGCAGACTGTTTCCTCCGAGAGGGCATCATAGTGTCTTTCAATACAAATGCAAGCAGAAATTAAAAACCAGTCAAAAAACCAGAGAATGCATCTTCACATCCTGTGTTACTTTTGTGCTAAAAATTCATTTTATGCGAGTATAGATTTTCATGAGAATTTAAAGTGACAACATAAAACATTTTATGAAAATACAAACCAGAAATATTTTAAACAATGGACAAAGCAACAAGGGTTCAGATTTGATTCTGGGAAGTGTTCTAGCGATGACTTTTTAATGCTGCCCAGAATGCCTGTGAGTTAATTCCAAAACCAGCAGGGAGGAAGCACAACCTCCAGTAGCATGATCCCATAAAGTAAGTTCCTACTGATAAGTGACCAAAGGCAGTTATTTAAAAATGCAGAAATAGAGCTGATTCTACATTTTTTTTTTAGTTGAATTCAATTCAGTAACTCATCAGATGGTGTTTCTGGTGCTTGGAAGTGGTCAGGAACCCCAGAGCAGAACAAGTCAGCTCAAAGCGCCTTGAAAGACAGTGACCAGAGACAGGATAGGCTGTCCTGGGGACACATGCTACAGAATTCCCAGCAGAGGAGTTTATGGGATGCTGTTTTCTGCAAAGCAGAGTTCCAGAAGGAGTCACTGAGAACATAGTGTGGCATCTGGGAGAACCAATAACTTGATGTAGGAAATAATTTTTACCCATCTGGAGGAAAAAATAAAGGAGGATGGGGAAATGAGGAGAAATAATATTGGTGGTCCATGGACAGTAATGGAAAAATTTGATAGAGGAAAAACATTAAAAATAAGTATTATCTGAAGCATTTACTTCAGTCTGAATTGCAAAAATGTTTAGGATCATATTTAGCATAACAAGATTGATGCTTGACATGTTTGTGAAAGAATCACCATGTCTAATCACTCTCAAGTGTTTAATTTCAAAACTGAAAGTATAAAGCACTATTTAAAATAAAATGGTATTAAATGCAAAATAAATATCTGCAAATATCTGTGTTTCTTTTGCCATGCTTCTGCTTTAAAATTCTGACTTTGAAGCTGGTTTTACACCATGCCAGAAGGCCTCTATTTACATCCTGCTTCTGGGTTCTACACTGTCACCTTCTTTCTGCGTCCTTTGCAATATGGTTTAATGGGCATGGTGGCATTCAGTCAAAGGGTAGATCTTGGAGGTCTTTTCCAACGTATAATAATACTGTGATCCTAAGGACAAAAGGCAAATGAAAAAAGAAAAAAAACTACTTAAATGTCGTCTCTGCTGCCTGGATATTTCCCAAAAAAACCTCTTAGTAAGACTAAGGCTGTGTATTCAATATTCTTCCCAGAAAAGCAAAGCTGTAACCTCCAACAGACAGAAACAACCTATAGCACGTGTCACAAAATACTTAGATACATTTTTATTACTGTCATTCCATTTTCTTCTGGAGGAGAAGGACAAGCAAGAACTGAACTTCTCCTGTTTCATCAAGTCACTCATGCTTCAATGGACTTTTGAACAAGAGGAAGAAGATGTCTTGTTGTAGGACAATAGAAAGCAAAATATAATAGGTAATGAGTTTTGATCCCAGGGGCAATATTGCACACTTTCAGTTCCGCTGACTGGGGTGCTTTGTGAGACTTCTGAGCAAGTATAAATGTAGGGAGATGAGAGATCCTTCCCAAACTGCAGCTCTGCACTGGAGGAATTGCCCTCAGCTCTCCCCAGCCCTGCAGCTGACAGCAAGGTAAGAGGCACCCTGTGCACAAGAGGGCTGGAAGGGTTTCTTGGGCGGCTGCTGTGAAATGCAGGGCAAGGGAAGGAGGCTTTAGTGTTGGGCTGAGAGCCGTGAGGGTCTGCTGTGGGTGTGTGCAGAGCCTGAACCCATCTCAGGGCATGAGGAGATGGATGGCTGCTGCAGGAAAACAAACCTCACCAAGGGAGAGGGT